GTGGTTTTGTTGTCGCCGGCGCCGCCGCCGCCGCCTGTGGTCCCTCCTGTAATCACAAGCATATCTCATAAATTATCCTCATTCAAGGATACATTTCATAATAACCATATTAACAACCAATATAAGTCATTCTTTATTTAAATTTGAACATGAATTTCTTCAATTTTATTTTTCATTTATTTAGTTTGCAATTTACACAAACATTTATCTCCCGGGATTTACAACCACCCCTCCAAATAACTTTTCTTAAGACCATTGTGATGCACAATCTAGATAATTTGCTAAAAAATGTTTCACAAGGCAATTAATTTGTTTTAGATTCCAAATACTAATTTGATACAAAATTTACCAACTTTTGAGCAGAATGCATCCACTTCAAAACAACAGTACTAAGAAAAAAAAAGGTAGGGACAGAAAAATTATAGTACTCACATTCGATACCACCACTTTAAAATAAGAGTGCAGATTACCCAAGAAGAAACCAAGGCAGCCATTGCTAAAAGAGTATCAAGAGTGCTATGAGAAAGAAGAGGAAAACAGGAATATGAAAGGTCACCTATCAGTCATCACTCAAATCTGCCGTCAAACAAAATTTGTCCTTAAAATAACTACAAGAGATTTACTTTAATTGCATCAGAAGATAAATGAGCTAAGAAGAAAAAAGCTAAGCTAGTAGACACAAGAAGATTGTAAAAGAATGACAGTGAACACGGTGCCTAAGGCAGTGAATGATGATGGTGCTTTTTGAATAAAGTCGAGTCTATACTACATGAATTCTGGAGTGTGAAGAGGATGTATGCAAGTTCACAGACTCATCTTATCCCATTGTCATAGGAAAATGAGGCACAATTGTTGGAAGGATCGAAGAATTGCCTTACAGGGCTGAAACTAAGGACAACTGGCCACAACAGAATTCAGCACAAAGCAGAACACGGAGAACAGAAAAGCAGCTTTAACCAACACAAGTACACAACCCAAGACATAATATAATTATCTAACATGATCTAAAGGTCTGGCTAACAACAATCAAAGTCTGCTGAGGCATTACCTCATCCTATATAATATTCTCCAATATAATATTCTGTCCAATAATAATAGTAACTTAGGGAATATCATACAATAGAAGCAAGTCACAGATAACCAATTACCATTGTCTCACTTTCTCTTGCCAAAACAGAGAACTGGATACCTATGAATAGGTACTATGGTCTTGTTAAGTGATTAAAGCTTGCATCATTGACCCTTTAGTAGCCTCTATCTTCCCCAAAAAACTTTTTTCTAGATGATTTATAAAGCTTTTCTTCTTTAATGACATCTTCTACTATCCAAAACATTAAAGCTTTTTTGTGTTCATGCACTAAAGTAACCCCCGCCCCCCTCTTTTTTTATATATAAATTAAACAAGTCCCCTCATGCATCTGTGGACTGTGGCGGCATAAGAGATTTATCCATGCAATAAACGGAGGGTATTCATTGTAAATAGGTGAACTTCATTATCCATGCCATCATCATGCATGGGTTCTAGTTGTATTTATATGTGTGGATGTACAATGGGGCAAAGGTACATCTGTAAAATGCTGCAGCTGTATGATGATTCTTCAATTTTGAGGCATTTGAACGACTTTAGAAATCTTTGTTTAGTTCAACATTGAGCAATGGAATCAACCTGAACACATGTCATACCTTGAAAATAAAGGTGGATGCAATAATGCGTGTTGCCCATTTAACAAACCGAGCTATTCCATCATCCACGCTCCCATCCTTTGAGATTACAAATTTCCTCACCATCCAGTACCCTAAACCAGCTCCTGCAAGAACATTCCCTACTAATACAAATATGCAGACCTGTAGTGAAACAGGGAAAGGTCAGAAAATAACAGTTAGGAAGAAGCAAATAAAGAATAAACTTTATGTGAAGAATAATATAGTAAAAGGACCACATGCACACAATTGGTTCTCGCCTTCTTTTCTTTGTGTATAAGTACTTTGAGAGAAGGGGATTTTGAATTAAGTAAAAGCTGTATCTCTCTTTTTTTATCAAAATTTTTAAATATTATCAGAATAAATCACATTTATCAAATAACAAAGTAATGCCAAATATGTGTCTTAAGTAGCCTATTAGAACAGCCAACGTAGCTTGTGGATATTCCAAAAGAAAATATGAGAAATTGAAAAATATGTGTCTTAAGTAGCCTATTAGAACAGCCAACGTAGCTTGTGGATAATTCTGTGGATATTCCAAAAGAAAATATGAGAAATTGAAGCTGCTGGCATTAGGTACCCAAAAGATTTAATGCAGTATCAATATGGGAGTGCTTGCATGGTGAGATGGTGTTCGTTGCAGGAATGGCTCTAGGACATTGATTCCCTTGAATCTGTAATTGCAAGTAAGCTATATAAAACTCTGCGAAAGAGAAAGGCTTACTGGATAGTGCATCTCTTCACTCAGCCCAAAATTGACAAGAAACGAATTTACCAGAATTGAAGTTTGATGTAAAACAAAAGTGCCAGCTCCAAGCTGCACCAGAAATGGATAGAAAGATAGCCATGCATCACAGACAAAAGAAAAAAGAAAATTATCTAAACAAAGGGAGCAAGTGTGAAGAAATGATAAGAAGATATTGGAACTTACAGCTAAAGTAAAAGCAAACTCACCACTGATCCATATATGAAAAGATAGAAAAAGTTTTTCCTTCCAGTTGGCAACAATTTCATTCCCTGAATCATTAGAGCAAAGGAAAACATAATAGTTGTATCTATAAAATGTTGAGTTGAAAAATTAAGATGAAATATAGAATCGCAAAATTGCAGGCATTGAATTGTAACTTGAATATATTAAAAGCATATTAATGTTCAAGAACATCAGTGATATGACAAAACCAACATCAATGTTCCAGAGTGATGCTATTTGAAAATAATATTCCTAAGCAATATTATAAAATGTTGTTTTAATTACCAAAAAAAAAAAAAAACTGTTCTGTCGTAACTTCCAACTTTTTTTCAATGAATAGATGGAGGCATGGAAACCGAAAGCCAGCCAAACTAGCACCTTCTTGAATCTTGAGTGATAATCAACCTCCACAAGGTTGACCTCTTGCAACATATTAGTTTTAGCATCAAATCCAATGGAACTTCAGAAATTCAGAACAATTTTTTTCTTGGACAGTATATGTTGATAACAAACACCCACAAATCAGTGAAATGAAATAGCAAATGGATTCAATTGAAGAATAGTCTAGGGA